TTGATTGCAAAAGATGCTCGGTATCCACACCACAGTCCACAGCGGGTTCAGTACTTGATATTGAGCCCAACAGTATTGACCTTACATCGTTTGCTGGACTCAAGTGGATGAGGATGATGATGATTCCATGAACAAATTACAACAATCTTGGAATGAAATAATCTTATCTATTATAAATTTTAGTCTTAGTTATTTATGTATCACACATGTAGTAATCAAATATGGAAACATGTGTACCAAACTATTGAACCCACAGGGGGTTCAGCTCTGCAGTCAATTACAATCAGCGCAATATAAGTATCACATAGATAAATCCATACAGAACATTTGCTGGATTCTAAGGCCAAATTATGAAGAAGGCCTGCAATTTGATGAAGATGATTCTTAAAAAGTTGGTATTCTTGTAGTTAACGGTATATCTGTCCCTCAACATCCATTATTATAGGGAAGAAGCAATTCTTGAGGATGTGTAATGGCAGTGTCCCATTGGATGTCATTATGTGCTCACTTTGTGGATGAATGATGAATTTGCAAATTTCTTTCATGTCTTTTTTGGAGATTCTTTCATATGGAATTCAAGAAGTTTTACACGATGGCAGCATTGGCGATTTGAAAATGTAAGCGAAACTTGTCGGATTGTACACAATTTGGCAATGCAGAAGTCCTGTTGTATCAATTTGTTGTTATGTTGGGGATTTAAGGTATTTGGGATTCAATAATAATAATTCTCCAAACTCTCATGGAGCAAAGAGGGCATTCTAATATGTGACAAGTGGATGGAGAGGATCAAGAAAGTCTTGCATCTTTAGCATGGCATTGGAGACTTGTGAATTGGCTTACTTTAAAGCCAGCAGCTGAAGAAAGAAGCCAAGGAATGTATTTTGGGATATTTGGAGAATGGACAATGATGAGCAGGGACTCGAAACCAGGCATTAGAGAATGGGTCATATTGCATAAGATTGAACAATGCCTGACAATCATGTAAGAAGTATTGACAAGACCAAAGCAAGATCAATACATAAGCAGAAGTGACAGACTGATGGAGGAGATATCAGATCACCATAAAAATGCTAAAGCAATCAAAAAGACTGAGGGATCGATGCTCCTCCCTAGTGCAAGGAATCAAAAGCGCCAAACAACTGCTGGTTGGGAACTTCATGTGATCTGGAAAGATGGAACATCCAATTGGGTAACACTGAAAGACATGAAAGAATCCTTTCCCCTTGAAGTTGCAGACTATGCCAAGTTAAAGGCTATTGACAATGAAGCAGCATTCACATGGTGGGTCCCACATGTACACAAAAAGCGTGACTGTTTTATAAGCAAGGTCAAATCAAAATATTGGGAACGGACCCACAAATACGGTATCCGCAGCCCAAAATCTGTCAAAGAGGCCATCCAAATTGATCGAGAAAATGGTGATACCTTGTGGCAAGATGCCAGCATCAAAATGGAAATGAAGAACAATCGAGTTGCCCTTGAGGAACTTGGCGGGGACATCAAAAAGCTAATTGGATACAAACCCATCGCTGGTCACATGGTGTTTGATGTCAAACTTGGTGAAAACTTCCAACAAAAGGCGCGATATTGCGCTGATGGACACAAGACAGAAGTGCTAGCAGCACTGACATACAGCACTGTGTATTGATTCCAACATCCACTTGTGACTCAAGCACTCCCGGATTACCGTTACAAAGCACGCCGATTCAAATCCTCAGTCCGTCTGCAAGGACAACAACAATCACAAATAGAAACAATGACGCATAAGTTGACTAGCGTGCTCCTTATCCTTGTGTATCTCCATTTACGATCCTTATTGCCTGATCTATCCAATCAATACACGCTAGTAACTCCAGAACACACACCACAGCTACCATGGCTGATTCTACACTGCACTCACCGCCGAGGAATGCCTCGCCCGATTTGACGACCCCCCCCCCCACGTGGGAAATCCACCAACATACGAAGAGGTCAACGCATTGGACATTGCAATCACCGCAATGCAGCCAAAGTCCCCTCACCGAACTGAGGAGGCCAACTGGGTCATGTGAGCCTGACAATGACTGCACCAGACTATGCCCTCATTTCCCCCGCCACCGCATGGGTTAATCCGATTCCACCAGCACCCACATTCACCGTCCCACCAAACACCAATGGACTTACTGAACGCAATCTCCAAGACCAATACAAACAACAGTGCAACCTCTTCCAGACCCAGCATAATGTGTCCCAAACACTCAAAAAGCTCATCGACGACGCGGTCCCCAACGAATACCTGGACGAAATCCGGCAGCCATATCTCAACCTATTGCCAATCAGCATCCCCGACATCTTTGCCCACCTATATCAGCAACCATCCAGCAATGTCACCCTTGAAGCTGTTGAGGAGCGACGTCTATCCGTGGAAAAACAGAAATATTCCCTTGATGAAGAACTCACCACATATTTTAAACGACTCCAAGACTATCAGACATTTGCTGCCCAAGGAGGCGAGGAGGTAACTGCCAACAACCTCATGAATATCGTCGTCCGTCACATCCGCGCCACTGGACATTTCAACCAGGACTGCCAAGATTGGAATGCCAGACCCGCCGGCAATAAAACGTGACCACTATTGAAAGCATTCTTCCAACGAGCACGCATTGCAGCAAAAGCTGATGCCGCAGTCAATGCCAATGCAAATTACCAAGCCGCCAACCAACTTCTCACCCAACAAGAAGTCAAACTTGCACAAATGCATGCGGAAAACCAACGAATCCAACAAGAGAGCAATCAAGCCATCCAACAACTGTCCGAACAACTGAACCTCATGGTCCAGTCCCAACCAGGAGCCTACCGGCCACCCATCCCACACACGGCCTACTACATGCCACACCAGGGTCCTGCCTACCAACCAACGGAGATACCACCCCCAGCATACCCACCTGTACCACCATTCTACATGTACCAAGCACCCCAGCATGACCCAAAGGACGATTTGAAAAAACAAATTGAAGAACTCCAACGCAGACTCGCTGACAAAGAGAATCAAAATGGTGGCAACAGGAACAAACGCGGCCCCTTCCCACCACGGACCAAACGCCTCCACAATAATGACAACTATTGTTGGACCCACGGACACGACCTGCCCAACACACATACCAGTGCTACATGCAAATTCCCCAAACAAGGCCACCAAACTGAGCCGCCTGCCACCGCATTCACAGCAACCGACCCACATCATATCTACCTCACCATTTACAATTGCAAAGGCGACATTGCCACGGACCAGACCGGAGCCTTCCCTGTCAAATCCTCCAAAGGCAACCAATACCTACTGGTCCTCTATGCCTACGATCCAAATGCCATATCAGCGGAACCACTCAAGTCTCGTAAAGGCAGTGAGCTCCTCCGCGCATTTCAAAACTTGACAGCACGACTTACTGCAAAAGGATTTCGCCCCAGACTCCAATGCCTTGACAATGAAGCCTCCAACAAAATGAAGAAACACTTGAAACTCCAAGACATTGATTTCCAACTGGTACCACCGCACAATCACCGCAGAAATGCCGCTGAACGCACGATCCGTACCTTCAAGAATCACTTCATAGCAATCCTTTGCTCCACGGACACTGACTTTCCAATGACGCAATGGGACGAACTCCTACCACAAGCTGAATTGACCATCAACCTCCTACGTGCCTCACGAATCAATCCCAAATTATCTGCTTGGGCCCAACTACATGGGCACCTCGATTTCAACCGCACCCCAATGGCACCGTCAGGAACCAAAGTCATCGTCTATGAGACTCCCACCCAACGCAGCACATGGGCACCACATGGACTCAATGGTTTTTACGTTGGACCAGCAATCGATCATTACAGATGCTACAGATGCACCACACCTCACGGCACTACGTCAACTCGCCACCATTTTACCCCCTGCACCACCTCCGAGGGTGCCAACGCGTCCTACCCCTGCCCCACTTCCGAGGGTGGTACCGAGCCCATCAGTACCTATACCGCAACCACTGGCACCACCACAGCCAAACAGCACTCCTGCCACACCTCCGAGGGTGCCCATACGAGCTGCTCCCCATCTGAATACACCACCACGCCCCAGAAACAACCAGCCACCTCCATGAGCCCACCAATACAATACACGCAACCGTCCACATTTGATCCAACAAGTTTGTGTCCGTACACCAACCTGGACGACGGGCACCCTACGGGCCCTCCTGCACAATGAATATCATACATTCCAACACCAAATTGTGCAACCCCTTGTTGCAAACCATGTCATTGATGAACGCACAGGCAGGGCTTCCAAAAATAGAATTGCCATTGCAATTAATTGCAATAAGTAATTGCAATATATTTGTTGCTAGGTCATTCGAACCACAATTAATTGCAAAATTATTCTACCAATGACAATTAATTAAGGATTTTGACTAGTCAATTGCAATTAATTAATTAAGAGAATTCAGTAATTGCAATTAAATAAGACAAGCGTTTTTGTACTACTGTAGTCGAAACTTGTTGGTTGTCAGTTGTCAGTTGTCTTTGTCATTTTCCGTCTCCGTCCTCATTGCTATCATTCATCAAGATGCCAAACACCAAGAAACAGAGAAGTCAAGAAATTGTGTGTTGAGGACTCTTGTCTATCATTACAGAGGAGAGTATCATCAACAAGGATGGGGTTATAAAAATCTATTATGTTCGCAATTTGTCCAGGGAAGAACTGCGGTACAAAGATGACATGGCTAAAAGTTGCTGGGTGGACAAATCCATACAGCCATATGCTTATTTGTATTGCCGGTGCAGACACACCAACATTGAAAGCTTTAGCTTTGGCTAAGGCAGGAAAATGCAATCAGAGGCAGCTTCCTTTTCTTCCAGTCAAAAAAGATGATGCACCACCACTAGGTCTTCGGGTGTCTGGTCCCAAAGACGATGTCATGCATAGTTGGATTGAGCTTATTGTGTTCAAGAATCTTGCTCTCTCGTGTGTGTTATAGATGACCTATTCAGGAAGTTGGTATATGGCGACAAGCAGTTCAAGTTTGGCCCTGATCTTGTGAGGGACACTATCTTGATGCTGTCATATCTGGTGGAAAGACAAATTGAGGAGGAGATGAAATGCACAAGCGCGGGGCGGAGCAGGAAAGATCCTCGGCTGTAGGGAGCAAGAGATCATTCACTCACATATTAAGAGACCAAGGAGACAAATATATCAACGCTGACTTTGTCCTTGGTTCAGCATCAGAAGTTGAGAGGCAATGGTCTATTGCTGGGAACCTCTTGGCCCCAAACCGCTCACAAATGGTGCAAAAGCTCTTCAAAGCCATCATGATGCTCAAGTATAATGAACGGTTTTGGTATAACAATGTTTCTTTAGTAGGAGAAGGAATAGACATGGCATCCAGCACCAACAAGAAAACTGACCAAGCTCAGTCAATTTTAGGTGCTGTAGCTGCCAGCAATAATTGAAATTGTGTCAGCGTTCAGCTGCAATTAATTGCAAATAGTGAATCATAATCAATGTCCAATAGAAATTAATTGCAAATAGATAACAGCAATGACAATGAATTGCAAATAGCTGGTCAGCAATTACAATAGAATAATTGCAGAGATCTAAAGAAAACCTGCAATTTCCCACTAAATTGAATTTGGATCAATAAAAGAATTGGGAATCCCAAACAAAATTGCAATTCCTAAAAATGATATTTTTGGAACCCCTGCGCACAGGTGCCATCCTCCAGTACCGTGACCTCATTCTCCGCAACGATCAACGTGAAATTTGGACCAGATCATTCTCCAATGAAATCGGTCAACTTGCGCAAGGAGTTGGAGACCGCATTGACGGCACCAATACCATCTTTTTCATCCACCACCAACAGATTCCCCCTGGACGCAAACCTACATATGGCCGCATAGTTGTCGACATTCGACCACAGAAGGCAGCAAAAGAACGCACCCGGCTCACTGTTGGTGGCAACCTCATTGACTATCCCGGTGATGTCAGTGCATCCGTAGCTGATCTCACCACTGCCAAAACATTATTCAACAGCGTTGTATCCACCCCCGGAGCCAAGTTCATGGGCATTGATATCAAAAACTTCTACTTAGGCACGCCCATGGAACGATACCAATACATGTACCTACCCATCGAAGTCATTCCCCAATAAATTATTGACCAATACCAACTTCATGACAAGGTCCACAACGGACGTGTGTACATGGAGATTCGACGCGGAATGTATGGCCTCCCCCAATCAGGAATCATCGCACAGGAATTACTCACCAAACGACTCGCGAAACATGGCTATTTTCCTTGCCGCCATACACCCGGACTCTGGAAACATATCACTTGACCAATTACATTCACCTTGGTAGTTGACGACTTTGGAGTCAAATATGTTGGACGAGAACATGCCGACCACCTCATCCAAAGCATTGCCCAATACTACCCCATCTCCACTGACTAGGACGGCAATTTGTATTGCGGCATCCACCTCCAATGGGATTATAACAAACGCACTGTGACGTTATCCATTCCAGGATACGTACAAGCAGCCCTACACGAATTCCAACACACCGCACCAACTCGCTCCTACCATGCCCGTCACATTGGACACGGCCCGAATACGGCCCTTGCACCCAATTGACAAAAGTGGACCACACCGAACCAATGTCAACTACACAAACAAAACTCCTCCAAAAAGTCGTGGGAAAATTCCTATTTTATGCCGCGTAGTTGATCCTCAATCACCTTGCGGCCAACCAATCACAAGGCACACAGCACACCATGTCCACCATGACGTACTTCCTCAATTATTGTGCCACCCATTGTGACACCACCATCACATATGACGCCAGCGACATGATCCTACGCATCCACAGTGACGCATCCTACTTGACTGAAGCCAAAGCCCGCAGCCGTGTCGGCGGCCACTTCTACATGGGATCAGCCCAACAATCCAG